CCCCAAAACCCCAAAACCCCAAAACCCCATCAAGCAAGTCCAAATATATTTCAAGAGAAAATTAAATAAAAATTCATAACTATAGAACTAATCATTATCTTGTGCCGCCACCTTTAGAAGACATGGTATCACCAGCTGTTATCAGATTATTAGTCTTCTTCTTTTAGACAAATGTTATAGAGTCATATTTATTAGAGGTGACCATAGACAGTCTTTTATCACCTCCATTTCTGTTCTGAACTTACATTCCAACAAAGTTATGACCTGTATTGTTGAAATGACTGTCTGAATCTCTTGATCCAACATAATCAAGATGATGAGGATTCTTGGTTGAACTGTTAGGGTTGTTGGATGTCTAATGCTAAAACATCAGATTCTACTGATGAGGGCTACTCATCTTGGCTGTTTCTTTAGACATTAATTATTATACTGCAGCTTCATTCTCTCCCATTAGTACCTAACTATGCTACCTGTAGGACTGGTAATTACTATTCAGTGCTGCTGACACAGGATTGTTTGAGTTGCCAGCGCTAATCTAATTGTCAGTTGGAACTAATCCAGATACTCTTTAAGTTGAGGGAGTCCTTATATTTTTGTTACTCGGCTTCATAGAGATCGCTGTTTAACTTCTGGGGGACAGAGAAGTCAAGTTGCCTAATCTCTGCTTGAGTTTATTTTCTTTGCTAAATATAACATGATTATTTTCCAGACCAGCTTTCATTCCAACCATGTTATTGAAGTGTTAAAATCCAACTTAAGTGTGAGACATCATTTCACCAGCTCCAGCTCTCTTTCTTAGATCGCTTCTTGAAGAAAGACTATCTCGCTTATTCAGAGTAAGATTAGTAAACTACTGTTGTTTATTTGAATTCATGTTGTGCATCTTTCCATAACTGTTATCTAATTACTGATTTGCTAGTCCAACCAAGTCATTAGACTAATGCTATGCTGAAGGTATTATTATAGCATTTATACCAACCTAGTGCTTTTAAGAGATCTAGTTCTGTATCGGGGTTGTGAAAAAAGATGTCATTGAATCAATGGGCTTCTGCATATCTTTGCTAGTCATTGACAGATTTCTGATATGCTTCTTCAGGATTTTCTTCCGATTGCTCATAAGATTGCTGGATGATGGATGAGTTACTTGCTTCTCCTCAATCTCCTTCATTTAGTTTAGTATTTCATCGTATTCCAATTTCTCTAAATACTTAAAATGCATCCTGGGAATTTTTATTATTCTTTTGAGTTCCTTGAGTTCCTGCCGTAATTTATCCTGCCCTTGTTGCAGCTATTCCTTGATTATGTCATTAAGCCTTAACTCCTCTTGCAGTATTGTCTTTTCTTTTAATGCTTCCTCTTCCATCTTCGACTTTTCAGAGAAAAAGTCCTCAAACATTTACTTAATCCTGAGTTCATATTTAGCGATCAATGCATTTTAATCTTCAACCTAGTCTAAAATCTTTTAATCCAAATCTTTGATATGCTACTCTTATTCATTTGCTTCCTTATAATAATCAAGATTCAACTGTTTGAGCAGTTTAACCTCACTTTCAAGTACTTTATTCTTCTACTCAAGCTCAATCAGTGTTTGCTTGTAATACACTACTATTTCACTCTCAACTACTTATGCTTTTTCTTTCAAGTTTAATTAGACAAAGCCTCCATAGAAATTGAAGGCATTGTTAAGATGCTTAGGACAGTTTTTCTCAACAAAGTATGATTCTTTGTATGTTGTTGGATTTTTCTGTTTTTTATCATAGTATGATTCAAGCTTTTAAGATAGTGGCTGCAATGATTCATCTTTGGGCTCCTCTAGCTCCATTAACTCCAGTTCTTTATTAGATTCAAGCAGCCCACTCGCAAGCATTCTCTGGTTTCTCTAAGTGATATCTACCTCTTACTCAGTAATCCTCTTTCTCATTACTCTCGTATCTCTCTCATTCTTAGTCAGCTATTCCCTGATGTTGCTGTAGTCTAGCAAGAGCGCCACTATTTCATGTTGGAATTACTCATTGATTCTCCTAACTGTCTTTTCTAGCATGTCTCGGGCCTTTTCTTTGGCAAGCATCTTGATGTTCCGCATTTGAACCTCGGCTGCCTTCTTGACTAGTCTGACTTGCCTAGCGTTTTCATTCCTAATAGACTAGACTTCAGCTTCTGTGTATAGGATGTTTTGCTTCATCATCGCTTCTTTGGTAGTCATTATTGGCAAAACTGCTTCATCCATGTTTAGTTAATTGCTGCTTACCATATTCATTCTGCCAGGAGTTCTATTTCTACCGTAAGAGCTATTTAATCTGTCATCTTGACTGCCAACTCCTAGGCTCTATGCTCTTAATTATCCGATTTCCCTAGACCTATGGTCCATAACCTGATTCTTTTAGAACTAAAAATTATGCACAACATCGTCAAAATTCTGCTTCATCATGTTGTCCCTTTCTAGTTGCTATGGTTTGATTCTTGAAGTGTTGGTTTTGCCTTGCATGGAAGGACTGCTCTTAATTTCATCCCAGAATTCATTTGATATCATGCTCTGCGACTCCTACTTCTTCGCCCCATTCCTGCCGTACTAGTCACCTAAGAGATCCTCATCTTCATCCTCTCCTGCATGAGACTTCCGATCTATCTCTGACTCTTGATCCATCTGGACATACATGTGCGCCGCCTCTCTTTTAAATTTGTCTATCTGGCCATACAAATCTAAATTTTTGTCCTTCAAAGCTCTGTTCCTCAGCACATGTTTCGGATCTAGCTCCTCCTTGTCGTATTCCTGCTCATCTACTAGTTTGACCAGAGGAGGCAGCATAAGAGCAGCTGCTTGTTTTTGGATTTCAGCTGCAACTTGATCTACTCTCATTGTTGACTCTTGCTGCCTGTTTTGCGATATTTTGCTGGTCTGTTTGTCTTGGAGAAATAAATTGCTAGCTGTGTCTACAATCAGATCGTAATCTTTGAAGTTTTTCTGAAACTCCACTTCCACATCGATCTAAGCATCTTGCTTGATTTTCTGAAATCTCGTGTCCATTATAATCCTACTCTTCAACTTCTCCTGCATTCTCTCTTTGTACTCTTCGGCCATTTAGTTGGCGTTTTGCTGATTATTATTATCGTTATTCATTGTGCTTAACCCAGTTGGCTTATCACTTATCTTATTCCCGATTCCAGCTCGAGCTGCCGTTTTATCAGAGGACTTTGGTCTTTAAGTGCCTCTCTACTTCTAGTCTGCTTTGAAATCAGTGTCAGTCTACATTCCTTACTTCTAGTTAGAAAGTGGGTTTGAAAAATGTTAATGAGCTTTCATAACCTTAATCTAATTATGTTCAATAAATTATATGTAAAATCAATAAATATTAATTTTCATTTCAAAATTACTTTTATTTAACTTCTTTATTGTATTTATGCTAGATGGGGTTTTGGGGTTTTGGGGTTTTGGGGTTTTGGGG